TATACCTTTCTCGAAATCAGAGAGCTCTGACCTCCGAGGCATCTTGCATGCGACTAAAGCCGATGCTGTTTCCTACACGATATATACCGACGGAGTCCGTGACGTACCTTAGGATCGCAGATATCGTCATTCCCATGCGTGTCCAAATACTTATTGGTAGTCAGTGTAGTAATAAGTGCAAAGATCCATGTATCTGGAAAGTATTGGAAAACTTCGAAAGATTTGGCGGCAAGTTCCGCTGCTGAAAAATTTATAGACTGCCATTTATGCGAAAGAACCCTTTATTTGTAAAAGATAAAGCAACTTGTTTATGTTTTCCTGCGGATAGTGAAGCTGACAATATCTGTTATTAGTGCATCACCAAAATATGATATATGTAATTCTTTAAAATTGTAAGCTGCAAATGGCACGAGTTTTTCCACATTTGGTTTCAGAATTTTAGCTCTGATTCTAGCCCTTTCGTAGCCAATTCTAATTTCCTTTTACAATAGCTAAAGTAGACAAAGCCATTTCAGGGGCAAATTTCCTGACTCAATTAATAAATATGGACCTGTTGAAATCAACAAATTATTGCATGGCTGTTTTGCAAAGTTTCTTACCATTTTACAGAAATCAAGTGATTCGCCATTGGAAAATCCCCCTAGCAAGACGCCTGCGAGTAAAATGGATAATACCGAAAACAAGGACTGCGTGGATACAGCCGACCACAATGTCATGAAATTTCGAAAGGCTATCCGGACAATATTAGAAGTATTTTCAGGACTAGTGCTTGATGTGTACTACAATATCTTCCATCCCAGAATAAAAACGTCGATTAAATTTGTTTTTCGAGGCCTGGATACTGATTTTACAGAATAATAAATTGTAGAAGCGATTCAGAGCCAAGCAAATCCGATTGAAAAGCGAAACAGTTTTTTTGTAAAGTTAATAACCGTACTGGAAGACTTCCCATCTTCCTCATGGAAATGTTGAGACAATGAGGGAATAAAATGATTTTTTGACTTGAATTTCTTCTCCATAGGAGAGCTAGAGTCATCTCTTTCAAGTCACGGAAGTTCCAGATTCAGTGTTTCCGATGTCAGCGCGCCCACCAGCGGCCGAGCGGTAAGGTCGCTGAACACTGGTAGTTCGGTCCGAGGTTCGAATCCCGCGAACGGGCTGGCTGCATGGGCGTTTTCGTGGTTTTCCCCATGTGTAACGTGTATACGAGCCAGTTTCCCTTAGAAAGTCGTCCACGAAGGCATCCCTCCCCTTAGGCAGATAGCCCTAGACTGCTTTGCCGTAATTAAAATACACCACACTATACACCGATGTCAGCGCTTCGCACGTGCCCAGTCAACTATTTTAATTCCTTAACTTTGAAGAACGAAGCGCAGCTACGGGACCGAACCCACTGAAACCGAATGTCTCCACCGGCCCATGCATTTTCAGCAGTTCAGCCTACTTTTACAAAAAAATTCATATAAAATCAGAATTCTCATATAATGACCTCAATTTTTGAAGTTACGTAGTTAATATACTAATTATTAATATGTACTAACAAAAAGAATAAAACATTAATAGAAATAAATGAAACATGTTAAACACTAAAATTATAACTATAAGCATGAAAACAAAATTACAAATACGAAATGTAAAAGAAAATTGAAATGTAAATGAAGACGAAAGCAATAATGATCTGTAGGTAATTCCAATTTAATAATTCTACTGTGTCTGGAATAATTCAAAATAAGGATAGACAAACAGGACAATGATGGCTTTTTTAGCGTAGCATGTACCGAGCAAGTAAGATGCATCACGCATCAGGAAAGATGATATTTTTCCCCTTCTGTAATAATGCTGTAAAATTAATTTGTAATTAACCAAGAAAGTCTATATTAAGATTTAAAATAAATATAAAAAAGGAAAACTGGTCTGAATTTTTCCATCACGGAAGTTCGGCGACGATACATCAGCTAGATGCGTTTTCTTGGATTCTACTAAAAAAATGAAAGCATTGAGCTGGATGCACTTCCCCACATTCTGATAGGGAAAAACGCTCCTAACTTAAAGAACTATGATTCTCAGTTTGTTCACAGCAAATCTGTCAAAGCCAGAAACACAGAAGAGAAACTGATACTCATACATGAATGTCAAAGGCCACATGACTTAACCGATGTGAAAACCGTTACCATTTAGCACCATCTACTGGCGTTTAAAAGTTCCAAAAATCGTTCCGTTTTAAAGTTACGTGTACTCGACGTTGGGCTGAAGAGCTCTTCGCGTATACATAACGCTCGACTTAAGCGACGCTTGCCTTGCCCTGAACGGGATAAGGTACATGCCAAATTAAAAAAAAAAAAAAAAAGGAAAAAGAACACGCTGAAGAAAAATGAGAAACTTACCTACTTCAATGAACACGTACCTGCATCGAAGATAGGTCCAAAAATCCCTAAGCTACAGGAAATAAAGGTTATTGCCGGAAATTCGAATAGTCAAGCACTTAAAGCGAATTCTGTAAAATAAGCCTGCCGAGGAAACAATTGAAATCACAAAGGATTATTCTCAGTGACAAAATGATAACAACATGTTGTCATGAATTCTTGCGACTTATCGATGTTTGCGAGCAAGGTCAGAGGCCTCTGAAAAACTGCGTGTAGGATTTAGGACAGTAGAAATATGTTCGATATGAAGTTTCTGAACTTTACTGAATCTTCTTGCCCTAACTTTTCAATTCGCAGTGATTTTACTTCGAAATAGATAGTTCTTCATGATGGTAGGCTATCGTATCGGCAAGGCACTTTAGTGTTGCACCATCATACGGAAAAAGTTCTTTTTTTTCCCCCCCCCCCCCGAATTTGGAAAAAAAAAAAAAAAAAACATTAATGATCTTTTAATGGCCGAGCGCTTTATTTAATAGTCATTATCCTTGCGCCACTACAAGGACCGTAAGTGGTGGCCATTTCATTGTGGAAGCACGTAATAGGTGGCCACCGTTATGAAGGGACGGACAGTTACAACCCCGCCTTATCTGGGATTCGAACCCGGACCCATTGCTACGGCAATTAGGGTCACTAACCACTACGGTGAAGATATAACGATCTACGAACAGGTATTCAACCTTTAAACATCCGTTTCGAATATTGTTCCATTTCAAGCGGACCAAGGAGACAATATATCAACGTTTAAATGTGTGCATGTGGGTGATGGTGGTACAGGAAAAACTACATTTTTGAAGAGGCATTTAACTGGAGAATTCGACAAAAAATATGTTGCCACCTTAGGAGTTAAGGTGCATCCTCTTGTTTTTCACACAAATCGTGGTCCTATCAGATTTAATGTGTGGGACACTTCTGGACAAGAGAAATTTGCTGGCCTAAGAGATGGTTATTATATATACAAGGAATTTTATTTGGAATTATAACAACCTTGTACAGAATAACTTCTGTATATCATGTTCATCACAATTGGGTATAAGTTCCAGTTTTCCAGTAAATGTTCTTAACTATTTAACATTGTGAACTATTACAGCCAATTCAACTTAGAGCTAATTCATTTTATTAGCTGGCAAATTGGAATACACTAACTGTAATGAAAAATTGGTTGCAGTATTTGAAACATGTGCATTTATATAGTATGATGTATTAGTAACTATACTAACTGAAATGAAAAATTAGTTGTAGCATTTGAAACATGTGCCTTTATATGATATAATTGATTGGCATATAATATGTACTGAATAATATTTTGTATTTCATGTTTGTTACAATTGGATTGGTTCCTGTTTTTCTGTAGATGTTTTTAATTATTTGAAGAAATTGGTCACTATTATAGCCATTTTACAAGAATGATTAGCTATATTTGAATATGTGCTCTTATATTGTAGGAATATCTGTCAATTTGTACCAAATTGAAATTGTTTAATTGTGCTATTTATAATTGTGTAGTAAAAATTTATTATTTTAACTGTAATGAAAAATTAGTTGCATTTTTTTTAAGCATGTACATTTGTAGTATGATTGACTGATAAATATTCTAACTGTAATGAAATATTAGTTGCAGCATTTGAAATATGTGTATTTTTATGGTATGATGATTGGTAAGTAATATGTACTGAATAATTATGTATTTTATGTCTATTATAATTGGGAATTAGTTCTTGTTTTCCAGTAGACGTTTTAAACTACTTGAAGAAATTGTGTATTATTGTAGCTACCTAAACTGATGTGACTGGCCTACTCTGTGGATAACTGCAACAATAATACAGACACACATCATTAGGTGTGTAACTGCTAACATGAAATTATGACGTATTGAAGAAGACATAGGTTTAGAAACTTGTTAATATATAAGTTCCTCTCTCCACAATATAGATCCTATCCATGACAATGTATTGATTAATTGATTGTATATTTATTTTTCATACGGATTATTATGTAACAATTATTGTATAGATGACATTGTCAATTTAGCATTGTAATATTACTATCATTGATTCGGTGAATGCCGCCGGCGGTGGATGGTAGATTCTTTTCCGTCGCATGGCCATAACTCTGATTTTGGTGTAGAACCTTAGGTCGGAGGTTCATGCGACGGCGTTTCGGTCACTAACCACTATACCGGCTGGGCGACAAAAGCAGCAATGAAAAGTTAGTAAATGAATAAGTTCTAGAGCCTGTTTAGATACGACAGTAAATGTACACCATTTTGTCCATTCATCAACTCATTTCTACCTGAATAATCTCTCTAAAAATTTAAACATAACCAAACAAGTTTATTCTACCAAAATAATAACGCTTTACAGCTGTTGGCACTCAAAGCAAAACTAAGAGGAAATTAATATTACACTGGTTGAATGTAGATGAACAATGCTATATTTTACATACTCCCACCTTTTGATAACAGGATTTTTATAAAAACAAATATTTAATTAATCTAAAATGTAACCTAAAATTCCATTTTAAAGTTCACGCTTAAAAGTCTATTTTAAAGTTCAAAGTCCTTAAATGTAGAAGGCACTTTTATAGCTCGACCACTTCTAGTAACTCTCTCTTTCCATATCTCTTGAAAACTCGTAGGGATACTTTCTTGTTCAGTATATCTGCCTTTTCAGGACTTCCTTCAGATTCTTGTTGTATTTCCAATGGTCTTAGAATCTCTCCATTCCATGTCTTAACTTTAACCAGTATGACATTATTGTCTTTACCAGGATACAATTTGACTATTCGTCCCAAAGGCCAAAATGTTCGCTTCTTATCTTCGTTTTCGATTAAAACTATGTCCCCAACTTTAAATTTATAAGATAACTTCTTATTTATTTGCTTGATCATGATATTTCCTAGATATTGTACTCTAAACCGTTTTCTGAACTCTTCCCGAAGTCTTTGCTGGTACCATAATCTTCTAATTAAATTTAATTTGTCTATATGGTCAAGAACTGGCACACCAACTTCTGGAATTTCTTGCAGGACCACTGCAGAAGTAATTGGTTTTAACTCATCTAAATCTTCGGATACATAAGTTAATGGTCTCGAATTAACTATACCTTCACATTCACAAAGTAAGCTAAGCATCTTTTCGTAAGTTAGTGAAGCATTCTTCAAGATTCTTCTTAACATTTTCTTAACAATTTAGATCAAACGTTCTCAGAAACTACCCCACTAGCAAGCTAAGGGTGGATTAAACTTCGCTGTAGTTCTTCTATTAGCTGCTTCACCTTCAATCATTTTCCAATCAATAGCATTAAAAAGATTATTTGCTCCTGTGAAGTTAGTCTCATTATCACTATATTTTATTTGAGGACGTCCACGTCGGGCAATAAGTCTTCGTAAACTTAAGAGAAAGCAATTCGTAGGTAGAGAAGTTAGCAGTTCCAGATGAATACCTCTGAATACAGCACATGTATACAAAGCAAACCAAGCTTTTGCTCCATCTTTAAGAATAAGAGAGCCTGCTAAGGCTATTCCAACAAAATGGATGCTTCTCTAATTCTGTCTTCTGGAAGTGGCACAGAAACTGTTCTCATTGCTTTTGTACTGTGTCTTCTACAAACAATGCATTTAGAAATAGCTGCTCTTATTGCTTTCCTAGCCTTTATAATCAAAAATTTCTCTCGAAGATTGGTTAAGAGCATATGAAGTCCAGCATGATGTAAAATCAAATGATGTTCTAGGATAAGTAGTTTAACTAATTTATGTGTACTTAGCAATAAAATTGGATATTTAAAAATTTCTAAATCTTTCCTTTCTGCTAATTTTGTCTTGAGTCTTAAAATTAATTTTGCGATAGCGGACATGCTTGTTTACATTTCAAACTTGGCAAAATAGCGGATTTGTAGCCAATCTAGAGAAACTAAGCTTCGCAACAACAAAGATAACGCCTTCTTTTATTATTGCGAATTAAATCATATTTAATCCATTCTGGAATTTATTCGAGGAAATAAGTGTTTAAGATTTACTTCGTAATTTTTAATATAAATATTTTGAGTTTTTATGTATTTTTGCCTTGTCGGGAAGTGAGAACTGAATTAATTGAATGAGAATACTGAATCGTCTGTGAAAAACTGTTTTCTTTCTTTTCTTTTTTTTTTTTTTTTTTTTTTTTTTTTTTTGTTTTTGTTTTGTTTGCTTAATTTCTTTTATACATCATTTTAGATTTATTATAGTATTTGAATAGAACATGTGGCAACGATTAGATAATTCTTCAAATGATATAAATTTATATGCATTCTGAGTTATAATATGAACGAAATGTAACGCTGTTAAGTGATCCTACCGCCAGAGTGTCGCTATGGTAAACAAATATAGTGACTTTTAAAGAGTGCATTTATTCTATTGTGGTTTATGCGCTATCGACGAAGTAGATTTAATTCAATCCAATAAGTTTAAATGAAATGCAATTAAAAATGCGTATAGTTTAATATTCCGTGCAAGGAAGTCATGTGGTGTACACATCAGGATTTTTATGTCAGATATAACACCTATTCTTTTTTTTTCCTAAATCTTACTAACAATGACGGTATCAAGTCTAAGTTATTAGGTCCTTTTTCAAGACCATCATTAAAAGAAGAAAATCCTTTCTTTCTATTTGATGCGTCGAAAACTGGTCTAACCTTAGTTGTTGAATTTTCCTTGAAAACCCCTCTATGTGGCAAGTAGCAACCAGATTTAAATAATTCTTCAAATGGTATCTTTTCAATTACATCTTCTTTTATAACCACTACTCGAACACATTATTATATGCATCATATTTTCCTTCCATTTTTAACTTTGGGAAGTTCAAGTTGTTTTTTCTAGTCTTCTTTCATCTATATCTCTATACTCAGGAAGATTTTTGTCTTGTACCCATGGCAATTTCACTTCATATCTTCCCTCATTTTTTCTTAAATTTGCCATAAAATGATCGTTACGACCTTATCAATTTCACTTCTAGATTTCAATTCAAAGGGATCTGTAATGCCAATGGCTTCTAATTCCCAAAGGTTTCTGATATCTTGATTGTGAATTAAGAGGGAGGTAACGACAGCAACAATAGAATTTTCACTCCAGTTGTTGGCGATTTACCCATCAAAACCCATCCGAGCAGTGTTTCAATGGCAAAAAATGGCTGTACTTAATTTCTGTATTTTTCCTGTATAAATATTTCCTGCAAAGTCTGAGCCTATCAAAAGATCAATCTGTGGGTTTACACAATCAACATCTGTGATATGAATTCCCTTTCCAGCTAATTCTGATATCCAATCCTATCTGTAGACTAAATATAGATCCACAAATTATAGGCTGATCTAACACAAGAATCTTGCAGCTATAACCAGTATGCAGATTCTTCCCATTTATTTTATAACATCTATGATTCACATCAGATGTCTTTCCTCCAAACACAACGTATGTTAATTTTTTATGAGCTTTTAATCTTATTCCTAAAGATTCTACTGTTTATTTTAAAACATACGAATATTCAGATCCAGTATCAATCAAAGCTCGAAGATGAAGTTTCTTTCCTTCATTATGAATGGCAACCACTAAAGTTCGAAGCAAAACTCTTCCTGAAGTGCCTGTTGAAGAAAGAGTGCTAATTTCACAATCTTCTTGATTGCACTCGACAACTAAGCCTTGCAACTAAAGTTAATTGTTCACAAACATAGTATTCCACTAACAATTCCTCACGGCCAAATCTTGCTTGAGGCTTTCAATCGCTTTTGTATAATTTTCTGCCGTAGGTGAATAGCTTCGCTCTTGTACCTGACAATATACACTATTAAATATTGGAATTTGTCTTCCAATTCCATTTCTTTATGATCGTGAATTCGTTTAAAACTGACTCCAGAAACACAACCATTCTTTAACTTCACGGCTAAATTTCATTAGTTCAAGTTTGGGAAGTTTTATTTTTGATATCTTATTACTTAATATATTCCTGTTTGGTTGTAATTTACTTTCAATAAAAGAATTGACGCAAACTATAGATTTACCAAATTTGACTTATATAATAATTATATTCTTCTACAAATTCAAATTCATCAGAATAACTTTTACCATTATCGTCTGCACTTAAGGCAAGTCCTAAAATTTTGTTATCAAGAGTCATTAAACTTTTATATGCCTTAGTAAACGAAGTTCGTAACGGAGATCGCTTCTACAAGACGCTCCATTGCAAACCAAAACCAAAAATTCAATTAAGTATTTCTTAGATAAAGTACTCACCTCTTATAATTTAATCAGGTGCTGAGGGTCACCAAATGTTAGATACGACAGTAAATGTACACCGTTTTGTCCATTCATCAACTCATTTCTACCTGAATAATCTCTCTAAAAATTTAAACACAACCAAACAAGTTTATTCTGCCAAAATAATAACGTTTTACAGCTGTTGGCACTCAAAGCAAAACTAAAAGGAAATTAATATTACACTGGTTGAATGTAGATGAACTTTATAGAATTTTCCTATATATATTTAACCACCTATATATTTCCTATATACATTTAATTACCCTTTCCTATATATATTTAATCATCAAACATAATATTTATATATTGTTCTATAATTTCTAAATAGCACATCCCCAGACGCGAGAAAGGTAAACTTCAATCGAAGCTCCATATTAAGTTTTAATAGGTCTCGGATGAAAATCCTACCACAGCATTATATTTAGAAAGATGTGAGCATGCTTTAATAAACATGATCAAAAGTAAACGATGCAATGATAAGAAAAATCCTAGGAATTTTTAAAAATAGTTTAAGAATAGTTAGGAAAAGATTGCATGCAAAGCAGTGCGATAATAGTTGGGCAGTGTATTCATAAAAAAATAAGGGGATTCAAGTTTCAATTAGAAAAATTTAAATGACACCAAGAGCTGTTATGAAGTGAAAACTTCTCTGCCCTTTTCAAGACATTTTTTTTTTATTTTTTATTTCAGAACATCTTTATTTCATTAACTCATCTGAACTTTTAATATAAGTGCCATGAATTCTTGAACACACATTTATTTCCTTTTTTTATGTGCGTGTGAGAGAGTGTGTTTTACTGTGACTTATCCTACCCTATCGACAGTTAACATCAAATAATGTCTCTGACATCAGAGGAAGCCTACGGAATTCATCCTGGCAAGGGGTTAATATTGCACCTGTCGTTTGCAAGAGGCTTGGGCACTATACAAGTTCCAAACCATACCAAAACTTTGACTAGTTCCGCATCTAATTTTGATGGAGAGCACCCCGGGGAGGGACGGGTCCGAGGGTCTTAAACCTTCTTCCCCTACCACTAACCCCTCGAGAAGACTTTCAGCTCGCCGCATATTTAGACTACCCCTAAGTCAGACGAATACCATACATTTACAAACATTTATGCGTCCTCCGGGATTCGAACTCGGGCCCTTCGGTGTTACAGTCAGCCGCTCTAACCACTATCCCATTTGGCGGCGAGAGTATGTGTGTTGTGAGTATACAATACTCAGACTATAAATACAAGTAAACAAAGAAACAAATAATAATTATAACAAAAGGACAGTTACAATAGAGTCATCTAACCCAAGGATAATGGAGCCGTTCATTCGTTTGTCAGTACCTTCATATATATGTTCTCTAGTTGTATACTGCTACTTTTTAAAATAGAGCGTATTCACCTCAAAGGCTGACATTTCCAATAACAGTCTTACATTTAATACAATTTGAGCTAGATTAGATTTTAAATTAGTCTAAACGTTTGGCAAAGAAGCATGCCTTATTCCTAAACAAAAGCCAATAATTGAGTGTTACAAATGTGACAAATAACATGTGTTCGCAATTAGCCAGTTTCGTATTGTCAAGGGAAAGACCCCAGCGTTTTCAGCTAGCTCGAGGCTGGATACGTGGAAGTACCTAAAGGAGGTTTCTTTAGATCTTATCTCTGCTGGGTGTATCCATTTCTCGTTTTGAAACAAAGGAGTAATTGTCTAAAAAAAGATGCCGCTGAAGTAAAACGCGTCTTGCGTCCAGGTAGCTTTGTTTTTCCCTTCCCTAAAATTATGCTACAATGTCGTTTTCGTATACTAATTCTAATTAGAATCCGGTACTTCGCCTATTCAGTTTTAAAATA